ATATGTAAATGAAGAGAAACGAGGTATTAAAAATGTCGATCCACTAATTAAAGTCAGATCTGAACAAGACTATGAATGCATTATAAAAGATCATGAAAGATTGGCTTTACTTATACTATTCAACGAAAAAATAGATAATATAGAACCGAATTTTATATCTCAGAGTTTGGGAATTATTGATCGTGATAATGATGGTAAACTACGATTCATACATCAAACTTTTGCTGAATATCTTGCCGCTCGTTATTTTTGGAAACAATTTAAGATTATTGAGGTTGACAAATTTGAGAAGTGTTTTGTAAAGGATGTAATGATTGACAAAATTCTTATAACTGAAAAACTACAAATTTTAGAGTTTTTGAAACAGAAAGCAAAACATCATAAGAAACCCATCTTGAATATATATTGCAAGATTCAAATGTTATTGAAACATTATTTTTTAAATGATGTAAGGTGTGAATTACTCGTGTTTATTGAAACTTTGATACAAACCATCGACAACGTAGACGTAAAACTTATTCTTAGAGTTGTCGACACACTTGATCAAATTAACTTGTATAACATGTTATTAGATTGTTCGAAAATTGCATCAAATTGCTTTACAAAGGCTGTTTTAGAAAAAATCAGTTCTGAATTTTTGAAAAACAGGTTACAATCAAGTTTTTTTGACAGTAATCCATTGTATATTGCAGCTTATAACGAAAATATGAATATCGTATCAGATATTCTTCAAAAAATTAGTCATGATAAAAAATGGTTGAGAAACAAACTAATTCCAATACTTTGCGAAACTAAGGCAATTAATATCATTGCAATTTGTTTGAAAATGAATATGATTGACAGTGAATTTTACGAAAAAATTGTTATTCAAGCAATTAAAGAAAAGACACCTGATGATCTAATTAGAGAGTTACTAGAAAAGGCTAACATTGAAGAACTTACTTCAGCTTGTAATTTTGATGAATTACTGCTGCACTTATTTCACCATGATAAAGATATAACCGCCTTGTTCATTGAGAAAGGTCTTGATATTAGTATAGGCATGAGTAAGGTTTTCAAAGTTTACATGAATCTTATTACAGTAACAGAAATGAAAGTTCGCGCCCAGTTAAAAAATAATGAATATGCTTATTTCAGCAGTGATGGATTTTATATCAGAGAATTACATGTTGGATTTAGTGATTTTTATAATCGAATCGAATGCATTTTAAAGGCTGGTGCAGGCTATAACTTCTATTCTACTGATGGCAGCTCGCCGGTTCAGTATGCAGGACAAGTGCACTACGTAAGAAAAATTTTTGAGTTGATGAAAGAGAAAAAATACGATTCACTAAATATGATACTTCGAATAATTATTTACTGTTGTGCTGAGTATAAATCTCATGATTGCAGCCCTGATGGCACTTATATATTGTCCAAATCATTTAATTTTGAACACGACAAAATATTTCTGTTTCCAAAATATTTTAGATGTATATATAAAACATTTTCTAGTAATCTAGACGCTTCTAACTTTTCTAAGCAAATAAAATTATTATTGAACATTCTACAAGAAAACCTACGATCTCCATTAAGTGAAACACCGTATACCCAAGAGCTTTATTATACCAAGAGTTTTTGCGATTTGCTTATCAGCAGGGTAAACTATTTGAGAGCAAAATGTGGCTATCGCTTGGGCGAAGCATATAAACAAGTAGAAACAGAAGTATGGAGCTATGTCGAAATTGTTGAAAAATATAGTAAATTGAAAACAAACAAAGAAAATGATTCAATTAGTGTTGAAGAAATGTTAGATATACTAAATATAAAACACATTAGTATAGATGAAGAATTGAAGAATTTAATTCTAGAAATTAGCGAAAATAATTATATAGAAATTTTACTACTAGTTTGGACGAGCTTCATCGATAAAGTTAATTATGGCGAAGTTTTGCTGGCATTAGAATATTATTGCAAACGCTTTGAAGAATTTTCAAAATTATTCGAATTATTCCAAAAACTTGACAAAAACTTTATCGAACTAATAGACGATATTAAAAATGAAATAGATTTGGACATTGAAAAAGTTTCGTCGCAAATAGACCCGGTTTTTGTGAGGGCAGTTATAAATGGTCGGGACATCAAGTACGGATCTCCATTACACTACGCCGCTTTTAAAGGCAATGTAAAAATTACAGAGTTTCTTCTGAAGCATGGAGCAAATGCCAATATTCTATTGAAATCTAATCACGATCTACTACTTAGTTGTGACAAAGGTTCACATAATGCTAAACATGCTTATACACCTTTGCATGTTGCAGTTACTAATAATAAACATGAGATCGTCCAAATTTTATTGAAAGAAGGAGCCATGGTTAATGTTACTTACGGAAAATCGACATCACTGCATATTGCTGCTCGTAAAGGCTATACGAAGGTTGTTGATATTTTGCTGAGCAATAAAGCTAATGCCAATTCTATCGATGAAAATCATTCAACTGCAATGCATTATGCAGCTCAAAATGGTCACATTGAGATAATTCAGTTACTGATAGAAAAAGGTGCAAACATAATTTTTTTCGACAATTATGGAAAAAGTCCGTTGTGTTATGCTGTTGATTGTGATCAAAACGAAATAGTAAGGCTGTTGTTAAATCTTGTCGATAAAAACTACGATAAGTTTTTATCAAAAGCTGCTAAAAGTGGTCGTGAAAAAATTGTTGAATTACTGCTAAAAGATCGTATTACTAATATAGGCCCGATTAATGAAAAAAACTATACATACTTGCACTATGCAGCTATGACAGGGCATTTAAAACTTGCTCAAACATTGGTAGAAAAAGGTGCTCCAGTTGATGCCATCAATCGTAAAAAAGAAACACCTTTGCACCTTGCGGCTAGATATAATCGATGGAAAATCGTAAAATTTTTACTCAATAATGATGCTAATATTAACAGTAGAAATATTAATAATTGGTCTCCAATTCATTGTGCCATCAACGAGGGTCATATAAATATAATTAATTATTTTCTGAGAAAAAAAGCTGACGTTGATATTTGTAATACGCAAGTTACACTAGTATCGAGGCTATTTCAGCATGCCATAATTAACAAAAGAAGGAAAGTCGTTAAATTTTTATTACGCCACATTATCAACGATAATTATAAAATCATTCTCCATAAAAATTATTATGCGCTTCTTGAAAGGAAATGTCGCTCTCAGATAAGTTTTGAAGAGAAGGTTTTGTTCCAGTTTTTTTTAAAAGATAACACTGATTATGAAAAAGAATACAGTGTTAGTCTAAATTTATCACATTACGCGATTGCCGTTAATAAATTAGCGATTGCCAAGACCTTACTCAAAAAGCACAGAGATGTAAATGCGCGCATATCCACCAGTGGCGATACTCTTCTGCATATAGCAGTAAAATTAAATAACAATAATTTTACCAAAATACTTATATCAAACAACGCGCAATATGATATCAAAAACAATAAAAATCAGACACCATTTGACACCAGGGCACTTGTAGAATCCAAAACAGGAAAACTACTGAAATGCATTGATAATTTATATATCGAAGCTACTAACACTGGAAGTAGAGAAAAAATGCTATCACTGCTGGATGATCGCGATTTGGATACTAAAATTTGTTTAAATGCCAGAAGTCTTGGAAATAATACGTTGTTACATTGCGCATGTAAAAATGGGCATCTGAAAATCGTTGAATTATTATTAGAAAAAAATGTAGTACACAATGTAAAAAATGACGAAGGTAAAACTGCCTTAGACTTGACAAAAGATATTCTGATTGAAGAGCCCGAAAATTGTATTCAGCAACAAATTGTAGACTATTTTAAGTCAATCTGAGTTACGTATTTTTTAAGGTGATATGATATCCATAAATTTTATTATTTCATATTTAATTTACTAAAACAAAGTTACTATTTTCAGTACTATCGCTCTTGCAGAGAACGCAGCTGATGTCCATTGTAGATATATTAGTGTTGGGTACCTCTGGAGTCAATTATATCACATTTATCTTATCCCACTACCTTAAGTTTATTTATAAGATTCGATGTTTTCAAAAATAGAAATTTTACGTTATAAGCTTTTTTTTAATTGTTAATTCAAATATATATTATGTATACCATTTGATTTTGATTGTAATGGGCATATAAAATTAAAAAATAATGTTATATTAAATATTTTATCAAATAATATAAGTTTTTTCTTATCTCATTTTCGGCATGCAATTTGAGATTTATATGCATGAAATTCGATTCCGGATATAATAAGCCGAACTGTAGTTCATAGATCTTGTGACTCAGTCAGATAAATTATCTGATGTGAGAACTCACAGTAAATATTCTGATACGAGTTGATTCAAGTCAAGTAATCTGTTTGAAATTTGACCTAGCACATTACTAATTTTTATCACTATCCACTTACACTTTGACGGTGACATCTAATATCATTGTAGCAACCGGTATCAGAATCAATCCTAACCAGAAGACAGGAGTTGAAAACAGCATTCTGTCGGTGCCCTGCATGACTGCACCCACTGGTATTATTGGCCAGAAATTACTAAAATAAAAATAACAATTGATATTAAAATTATTATTTAGATTTAATTGTGCTAAAGATTTTGAATAAAGCTGACCTGTAAATAAGTATGAAGAGGAACCATAAGAGTATCGAACCCCAGATGGAACAATGGCTCAGCCAGGTCCACGAGTTGAAGATTAAACCAGCTTTTAAAACAAACAGTCACAACCACATACTGAAAAGAATATATATCTATATATATATAAATCTCGTATCACGATGTTGGTTCGCGATGGACGCCCAAACTACTGAACCGATTTTAAATTTTATTGGCTTATCGTGTGCATATATATCCAACTTAGGTTATAGGAAATTTTGAAAAGTAAATTTGAAATATAAATATATAATTTTTATAAATTTCTAAAAATTTTGACAGAAAATGACCAAAAAAAAAACAAAACACTAAAATGACAAATGTCAAAATTTCAGGAAATTTCGATATATAATTTTTAAAAAAAAAATTTGGCATTTCAAAAAATAAAATTCAAAAACATGTACATATATAGAAATATCCAACATTTAAATCCAAATTTGATGAAATGCTATATTCAAAATCACTGTTTACAGTTTTAAATCTAATTAAAAATCAACGCTTAAAAATTTAAATAAATGTTGACATGTAAAAAAATTAAATGTCATTTGTCAATATTTATGAAAATAATTATATAAATAGATTTACGATTTAGATTTAATTGATTAGCTTACCAAATTATTTCGGAAACCAAAACTTCATCAAAACATTATAGATCAGAGATGACAATAAAAAAGCGGCATATTGAATTTAAAATTAATCATAAACAAAATTTTGACATTTCACAAAAAAAATGTTTAACGACTTACTTCAATAAGAATCAAATAAATTAATTATTCCAAGTTATGTTATAGGCAATATTGCCTAACAAATTATAGATACAAATAAACATTATAGATCACATTAAAAAGACGGCATATTAAATTTAACATTAATAATAAACAAAAGTTTGACAGTTCAATTGAATTTTTAACGACAATTCTTCAATAAGAAACAAATACATTAATTATTCCAAGTTTTGTTATAGGCAATATTGTAGATACAAAACATTATTAGAAAATATATTATATCATATTATATTAAATTTCGACCAAGAAGGAAATATTTATTTAGTTTTATATTTTTTATAAATTTTCATAAATTTTGACAGAAATTTACTAAAAAAACAAAAGTTTAAAATGACAAATGTCAATATTTATGGAAACTTCGAGAAAAAACGATTTATGATTTTTGAAAAAAAATGACAATTCTAAAAATATATTATTTTTACTAATTGAAAAAGGAACAGATATATTATAATATATACAACAGTTATATACAAATTAGGCAAAATGCTATATTCAAAATAATAGAAATATATAATGTTTATAGATTTAAATAAATTTTGATAGTTGTAAACAAAAAAAATGAAATGTCAATTATCAATATCTACGGAAAGTATTAGATGAATAAATTTATAATTTATATTTATTTGGTTTGCTCAACATATTAGTTCGGATACTAACACATAAAAGTCACACAAATTTATAAAAATCACTTGGTTATTCATTATACATTTTGTAATGTACTCATTTATTCAAATGAGTAATTATTTCAGTTTATTTATTATTTAAGTTTAAAAAAAAAGCACTTTAATCAATAGTATTGATCCATCATATTCAAATTTCAATCAGGATTTTATTTATTTTTGGATTGATATGAATTTTTTATAACAAAAGGTTTGAAATTTGGTTGTCAAACGGATTCAAATTTCCATCAGATGGATTTTAATAAGGGCCGTTGCAACGCAAGGCTGGGTATGCTATATATATATATATATATAAGAGTATATATACAGCAATTTACTACTAGTTTCTTGTTTTTTCGATCATTTGTTATTATAATTCTATTCTTACCGTGTAAACCATATTTCCCAAGACGAGATATCCACCTTCCTTTCCATTTTTCCACAAAACGTGATAATCACAGATAAACAGAGGTAACCAGTACAATGAGATAGAGTGGAGTAAGGCGTTGAAGATCCATACCCAGAATACTCGGACATTGAATAATTGGGCACTCTGGGACGGTTTGTACAAGGCCGGATATCTAAAAAAAATTATCATATTTTTATATATATATATATATATATATATATATATATATCTTATATATAAAAATGAAGCTCTCGATAAAATGATTCGGTAAAACTCGAAAGCGGTAAACCGATTTGGCCAGTCTTAGTCTTGAAAAATTCGTGCCAATCAGTAGGTTGTCGGAAAGGTGAGATATTATTTCAAAATCGCGCAGAAACTTTACATTTTTAATTTGAACATTTTTGTAGATGACGTCAAATGTCAAATGTTTTCGACAGATGATGTTCAATTACGTTTAATGGGATATTTTTCGTGAATATTATTTAATTATGATTTATTTGTAGTAAACGTTTTAATGTGAACAAATTGACGGCAATATATTTTGAAAATATAAAGCGTTGTAATACAGTTATGAAATTATAGAATGTTATTCCTTAATATGCGTACTGAATTATAAAAATATAAAATCAAATATGTTTCCAACAGAAGAAACTAAAAAATTGCATACTCGATTTTTATTAGTTGCGAATCGACGGTTGGATATGATATGAAAAGTACTTTTGAAAAATGTTTTAAAAATATATACAATATTATACTAGAGCTATAAAATTTTAGTATGTTATTACCTAATATATGTACTCAATTATAAAAATATAAAATCACATATGTTTCTAACAAAAAAGCTATAAATGTGCAATTTTGTAAGCAAATGCACTCTTGCATATCTAGTTTCCAATAGTTGCAAGTCCACGGTTTGATGAGTATTTTGAAAAATATTTAAAAATATAAAACGTTATACTAGAGTTACAAAATTTTAGTATGTTATTTCTTAATATGTGTACTAAATTACAAAAATATAAAATCATACATGTTTCTTACAAAAAACAGCTATAAATTCGCAATTCAGTAAAATCATGTAATAGGGCCGCAAGTATTACTGCAAACTCAACAATATCAACTTTTTTGAAATGTTAATATGAAAATGCACTTTTTGGCATATTTTTCTCAAACACGGTGCTCTAAAAGATCTTATTTGTATAATTATATACTCATTGGTATTTATAAAACATTTTCTAGGTTATATTATTTTTAATTTATGTTATTTAAATTCAGAACCTAAATTTGGTATCGATCAAAGGGACATTTTGTCGAATAACATTTTCTCAGTTATAATTTCCCAGAATTTATCGAAGAATAAATAGTAATATATAAAGGTCCGGGGTAAAAAGGTCTACCAACGATGTGTCAAAATCAGTAAAATTAAGTACATTGTTTAAAAACAATATTTGAAAGTAGAAGGAAAAAGATGTATAACCAGCTATAACCTTATGACCCTACTATCGGGAGATAAACGTTGTAAATCCATAATAAAAGTATTTTCTTCCGTTGGTAGTTTTTTAGCATTAGTTAAAAATGTAATTATTTTGTAAAATACCTTTAAAATTAAAATAAGACATTAAACCTGTTTGCCACCTGGCCATTCCAAGTTACCCTGTCTATGGGGTAAAAAGGTCTAGATTACAAATTTTTGAAAGACAGCAATATAACACATTTCTACAATGATGAGGTAGCGGGCAGTTTTACTGAACGTAGTCAGATAATTGTTCGTTTGAAATGTGTTATTTGTTGTGATATAATTGTTTTGGTTTTTACAATATAGTTTATATTTGCTCAAAGTCAAATTGGATCTTTGTGCCTCGCCCTGCTCTACATATATACTTTTTATTAAATTTACTTTAATTCTTCGAATGTTACTTGAATCTTTTCAAAAATCAGGTCAAAGAAGAAATACTTGATTCATTTTCTACCTCTCCTCGCAAAAATTTGAAAATTCTGTATAAGCTCAGTAGTATTATTTACAATTATACACAAAATCCAGAATCCAAAAAAAATCTGAAAACCTTGAAACGTAATCAATAAGTCGAAAGACCAAAAAATGACTTGGATTGGATTATACCATGTTTTCTATAGAAAGTATAAAACTGCCAGTTTTGATTGTATTGATAAAATATAGACAAACTAATGGGGTTTATAACTTTCAAACAACATTCTTATACACTGAAAGTACTAATATTTTTGATTCTCTAGAAATTGTTTAGAATATACCTTACTTAGCAAAACAACTTTTCCGGGTCAGCTAGTATATATATATATATATATATATATATATATACAATGTATAAACTTACTTTATCATGGTGTCGGCAGAGCAGACTTTATCAAATATTCCCATTGCCAAAGGAGGCATTGCAGTAAACAGAACATTATATAAACCAATAGTCCAGCGTTCAAATAAAATTTGACCAGACCTAAAATACAAAAATCAATTAAACATAATTTGTCATTGGAGGTTAGTACAAATTTTGTTTTCTTACCATCCGGAATAAATGGCAAACCACAACTCGATTACGTAAAGACAAATATTTTTGTAGAAACTGTATAAAATTAATTTGCACATTCGACTGTAGTTCCAGGCTCCGTGCACCAGCAGCAGCCTTTGGAGAAATCGAAACTGGAAATGAAAAAACACATTCCTAGGTCGAATATTTTCTTTATGAGGGAAAAAGAATAATTATTTGTCTATTTTTAGGTAAATTACCTGTGCTATAGAATAATCAGAGGCACAAGAAGCCTGAAGACCCTCGACTCCTGATATGCCAACACCAACGTTAGCTTTTTGGATCATGGCCACATCGTTGGCACCATCTCCAATGGCCAATGTCACACTGCCAGTGTGTTGGGTGACTAGATCGACAACCTACAAAAAGTACATACATATATATATATATATATATATATATATATATATATATATATGTATATATATACATATATACAGTAGCGGCGCTAGGCGTCAGCGGTGTCGGCGGCCGCCGACGGCCTCGCGCTTCAAGGGGCCCAAAAAAATTTAATTTTTCATTTGTATTTAGTTTTTTCATACTGTTGTGCAAGTAAGCAAAGTGATTAGTATTTTACGGGCACTATCATTTTAATCTTTTATCTCTTATGGGCATTATCTAATATCGTCTGTCAACACTATAGAGTATAGATTATTAAATCTAAACAATTTCGCGCGAGACGTTTCTCTGATTGTTTATATTTGTGTTTCTTATGCGAATGTAAATCATTATTCCTTTTGGCAGTACATAAGAATATCCAAACATTAATTAAATATTCGAGGAATAAAATTAATTAATGATCAATAAATTGGCCAATGAGAAATAACATTGTTTTAATTATTTTGAAATAAATACTATAAATACTGTTAATTTGAAACAAATCATTGTTTCACATCTTTAACACAAGCAACATATTGTTTCAATCATTCTAATCGGATGATCAGTTTTTTCAAAAATTGCATCACCAAATTGATTGAAACTTTTTTTGCATCTCCGAAACCGCTGAACCTGCTTTTGCCAATTTATCAACACGAATCAAATGTTTCTTGAATCATTTAAATCGGTCGATCCGCTTTGATATCGTCGACAAAAAATTAAAGGTTCTTTAAAAAATCCGACATTTCGACATTTCTGAACCAAGTTTAAAATGCAAAAAACTGTTCGAAAGTAAAGATCGTTTTTTTTTAAAAAAAACTCTGTATAGAGATCAAAATTATAGTCTAAACTAAACTGACATAAATTTTATGGAACTACGACAAATTATTAATTATAAAAATTCATTAAATTTTGAAATAATGGGCCGAGCTTTACGGTCATGTCATTCTATGTGCGGATTTGTGTACTCAAATTATTTTGATTAAAGATTTTTTAATCAATTGTAGATTGCAATCTTTTGTTTAGTTAGTTATTAATTAAGTAGATGGTGTCCAATCATTTCCATTCAGAAAGACTTGAACGTTCGAGATATTATAAAATTAACTAATCGAATGATTTGGCAAAAAAAACTTCTTCGGGATAATTATTTAATTTCAGTGTTTTCTAATATCTGGAGAAACAAACTGTTTTTGCCGAAGAGTTTGTTTATTTTAACTTGTGTAATTTTTGTCTATTGCAATTTGTGTAAATATTTGATTAGAAATAAATCACATTTACTCATACTTTCGTTTAACAATAATTATTTTTTAACTTTTTAATATGGTCATTAAGACGTGCTGATTAGTTTTTGGCAAAGGCAGAAGGAGCCGTTTCGAAGATACGGGATAAAAAGGGCCAAAATGGTAATTCCGTCTTTGAGAAAACGAAGCGTCCGATCCGAATAATTCAAAAAACATTTTATTTGTATTAACAAGATGAAAAACTGATTATATTTTTAGGAAGGCAGGTGGTCTAGCGGTTTTGGAGATCTAATAAAAAAATTAAAAAAAAGCCATTTGGCGGACAAAAATGATCACGCATATCAAATTATCAGATATTTTATAAAGATTAAACCTTTCCACTCGCAAATTACGAGATTTATATGAATTTTCCGGCGGCATTCGAGTGAAAAGGGTTAATAATAAGTACAAATTTTGTTTACATTTCTACGCGTTCCGTAGAAATGCATAACCGCAAACGCGGCGCTTACGCGCTTCAAAAAATTTCAAAATATAAAAAAATATTTCCAATTAAAAAAGCTATTTTTTTTCAAATTTTTCAAAAAATTCTAAAGCTTTTTAACATTTAAATTACAGTAATTTGCCTTAAGGCACGAAGTCGTGCACTCGGGGGAGCTTCGCAAACGAATTTCGCCGACGCCCCCGTATGGTATCGCCCCGCCACTGTATATATATATATAATATATATATATATATATATATATATATATATATATAAATCTATATTAGTACTGTGATTCTTTTTACCTCTGCCTTTTGTATCGGTGAGACCCTACAGCATATGACAACCTTGCAAGAAGTGCAAAGATCCACAAAGTCCCTCCTGAGATCACAAGCCAAGGCGTATTTCAAAGTTTTACCATCTACGACTAAAGCTACCTCATTCTGTTTACCAAGCTGCTCCCCGAAATCAGCATTGTGTCTGGATATCGTGTCTCTGGTGCTCTGAAAAAAAAATAATATTGTAGATAATTGTAATATAAATGTAACAAAAGGTGTGTAAATGTTTACATCTAAACTGTCTTCATTAAGGACTATCAAAGGCATCCCATGAACAATGAGACGACAAGAATATCCAATATTTATAGCTGTTTCTTGTTTATCTCCGGTTAAAATCCAGACGGCAATGTCTGCTTTGATCAAGGCTGCTATTGTCTCTGGTACACCTTCCTGAAAATAATAATGATAAAAAACAATTAATAATTATAATAAAAAATGTTATAAGATGGCTGAGTTGTGCAAAAGTATTTACTTGTAGTTTGTCTTCGATAGCACTGGCTCCTAAAAGTTTTAAATTAGTTTCTATGAGATTAGCTGCTTCTTCGATTTTCAATTCACGATCTTGTAAACTTGTAGCTGCCTTGTGGTATATGTGTTTCCATTCCTGATAAAAATAATTATTATAATCTTATATATAACAATGAATCGCAAAATGTGTTGGTAAGCGCATAACTCAACAACGCCTGGACCAATTTGGCCAATTTTTTTTTTAAATGTTCGTTGAAGTCCAAGGATAGTTCTTACGGCGAAAAAAAAATCGAATGATTTCCGGGAAAACCCTGAAAACAGCCCTTTTCTTTTTCACGTGCAAACGTTTTCTAACTAAAACGTAGAATCAATTGGAGCGTTAAAATTCTTCTGTAATGGTGTATGAAAGGGTAATCCTACTAAACAATTATTCGGATTTTGATAAATCTTTCTGAAGTTTGTTATGGGATTCTTTTAGAATTTTTTGAATTATAGAATATAGTTAGATTGCAGAAATAAATGGAAAAAATTATAAAAAAACGCATATTATTCATTGACATTGAAAATATTGAGGCATTGTTTGGCATTGAGAAGTCTGTCATTTATCTTTAAAATAGTATATTACAAGTTCTGATGAAGTCAGAATTAAAAGAGTTGTAATCCAATTAATGCGGGGGGTGGTGCAGGAGTGCAAATTGTTTTCACCCTGAACTTGATATTAAGATTAACCTATTTCCAAAATATCAAGCAAATTGGAGTACAGTAAAAAAAATTCAGAGGGCACACGCTTTTTTCCTCTCCATTTACTGCAATAATTTTGTTGATCGTAGAATAAATAGAGCACATGTGAACAGGATTTGTCAAATTTATTCACTGCTAATACGAACTTAAGTAATAATATATATTGAAAATAAGGTACGAAATTATTAAAATTATAGGCAATATTATTGAAGCAATTATTTTGGGTAGAAAATTTTCAGGTGATATTGTACTTTTACCGCAAATGCTATAAATTAATTCCTTCTGAATTTGTTATACCTTTTAAAAAAGTTCTTATGCTATTACCAAAAATACATCAAAAAGGCAGACAATGATTTTTTGTGTGAAAAATTTGGAAAATCAATGTTTTAGTCGTGAATAAACAAAAAATCATTCATTTATCCACATCTACAGGTATGACTAAAAACATTGTATAACCTTTGGCATTAAAATAAATTGAGCTATTGGAAATAAGTTTGTTCTATAAAGTGCAGTGTATAATTTTTAATATACAATTTTATTGAACATATTTTAATATGTGTTAAAAGGATAATTGAAGTGTTAACTGTGGGAATTGAGAATAATCATTTTATTTGAAACAGTTCTACATTTAACATCACTCATATATTGGTGTAAAAAGTAATTCAAAAAACAATAATTATAATTTTTAACTGAACAGCATAAATATTAGTATGAGATATGAAAAAAAATGTAGATGTGGGAACAGGACAATGTCTGTCGGATCATCTAGTATATATAAATATAAATATATATATATATATATATATATATATATATATATATATATATATATTAGGGTGGTCCTTAATAAAGTCATTTTCGAATTTCCTTGCTCCCAGGGGCTCAAATGGTTCCAAATTGATAAAAAACAATTCTCTGAAAGTTTTAGCTCTTAATATTAACGTTTAGATAGAGCGCAATTCAATCAAAGTTTGTATGGAAAGAGCATGGAAAAAGTTTTGAAAATTTAAAAAAAATGTTTTAGGTGTAACTTAGCGACAAATGAATGAGTATTATTCGTTCATTTGTTTGCTAAATTAGATCTAAAAAACATCTTTAAAATTTTTGAAAATTTTTCCATGCTATTTCCATACAAAACTTTGATTGAATTGCGCTCTATCTAAACGTTAATATTAAGAGCTAAAACTTTCAGAGAATTGTTTTTTATCAATTTGGAACCATTTGAGCCCCTGGGAGCAAGGAAATTCGAAAATGACCTTTTTAAGGACCACCCTAATATACATATATATATATATATATATATATATATATATATATATATTGAAATTACCTCATAAAATTCATGATTAACATCAGCAACAGCACAACACAACGTCCTCAGGCCTTCTCGAGCAAATTCGTCCAAATGTTTCAGAGTGACTTCTCGATATTTCGTATCCTCTTTGGCTAACCTTTCATATATCACAGTATCTGCTCCTTTACAATATAATTTGATTTGGCCTAAAAATAGACACGAGAAACATTATTAAAAACCAGGTATAATAACTAAAATTATTAAGTCATCAATATATTTACCCTGTGGTGTTCTAACAACAACAGACATTCTTTTCCTGGTTGAAGTGAATTCGAGAACATTCAATATCTCAAATTTTAAAATTTCACCCAAAGCGTTGACCTCAACGTGATGTGGTGTCCGGGTTTCAAATGAGTAACCGTATTTCTTTGCACCACTTACTAAAGCTCTTTCATCTACAGGACCAAAATTAATAAATAAGTCAATAATGCAGAATTTTTATTTATTAACTTCCCGTAGGGTAATTATAGTAATGGGCCTATAATCGAAAATGAATTTTTTTGCATTTCTTTCTTGAAGGTTTCTGAGCATTTTACTGGCATACCTCAGAAAAAATAGGATGTGTGTGTGTGCGGATACAAATTTTCATGTCGACGATTTCGGGAGCACGGATCAACCAATTTGAATGGTTTAAAAAACATTCGATCCCTATTGATAGGGAGATGTGCTGATTAGTTTTTGGCAAAGGCGGACCCAGCCGTTGCGTATATACGGAGCAAAGAATGCAGAAAATACAAAGAAGAGGTGATTAGTTTTTGGCAAAGGCAGGTCCCGCCATTTCGAAGATACAGAGCTAAATGTGCAAAAAAATGGCAGTTTCTGAGAGAAATAAGCGTCCGATTTGAAATGATCTAAAAAACTTTCTGCTTGCATGACAAAACAATTGCTTTTGAGAATAAAAAATTATTACATTTTTTATTTTCCATAAAATATTTTCGTAATTTTGGATTAAAAATTCAAAAAAAAAAAAACCCAGGCTAAGCACAGTCTAAGCGCCACTCTGGTACAAATGTTTGCCCAAGTGCGTTTAGACCGTTTATGTACCTTTTCAATTTTGTGAAAACTATTGAAAAATGTGAAAATGCTGCCAACCTAAGCACAGTGTAAGTGAAAATGTCGCACATAATTATTTGCAAATGCGTTTAGACTGTGACTATACGGAGGCACTTTTAGAATTTTGTGTAAATTAGGCAACTATTTTTAACTTCCCGTAGGGTAAGTTATAGTAATCGCAAAAATCGAAAATGAAAATTTTTATATATCTTTACATTTCAGAGGTTTCTGAATATTTTGGCATACCTTAGAAAAATTGATGTATATGTGTGTGTGTGTGTGTGCGGATACAAATTTTCGTCGACGATTTCGGGAACACGGATGAAGCAATTTGAATAATTCAAAAAACATTCGATTTGTATTGATAAGGAGACGTGCTGATTAGTTTTTCGCGAAGGCAGGTCTAGTCGTTTCGAAGATATGGGACAAAAAGTGTCAAAAACGGTAACTCAGTTTTTAAAAGAACAGAGCGCCCGATTCGAATAATTCAAAAAACATTTTACTTGTATTAACAAGATGAAGAATTATCAAATTTTCATGAAGGCAGGTCTAGCGGTTTGGGAGATCTAGTGGAAAAAGTAAAAATAAATGCCATTTGGCGGTCAAAAATGATCATTAGACAGATGCATATCAAATTATCAGATATTTTATAAAGATTTCAACAATAAGTATAAATTTTGTTTACATTCCTATGGGTTCTGTACCAATGTTTATCCGTTAGACGGCGACGCGGTGCTTACGCGCTTCGATATTTCGTCTCTATGCAGTTAAAGCAGTACGATTGCTTTTAAAAAAAGTTCAGAATTTCCAAAATATTTCAAAATATATTTTTCTTCAAAAAGTGTTTTTTTTCAAAAAAAGTAAATTTTTGTCAAAAATTTATAGTATCTCAAATATCTAATATTTTCAGAGTAATTTTTTTTCAAAAATGTTTTTTTTTCTTTCTTAAGTCTTATGTCTTATGTCTTTTCTTTTCTTTCTTTTCGTTCTTTTTTAAAAAAAATAATTTTTGGTACGGGAAGTTCCAGATATTTGCCTTAAGGCACGATGCCATACACCACTAATTTATTTATCTATTACCTGGTGATGATGCATGGTAATGTATTTTACCATCCTCGCTCTTCTCAGGAATCACTGTATGGCAAACCGATAGCAAACTCATAAATTCTTTAAGCAAGTCGACTGTTGGGTGATTGTTGAGTAGATTCTGAAAAAGTAACACAAAAATCTTCAAAGACCAGAGCCAAAAACAAGGATGCTTCTACAGAAGTAAAATATAGGTCATTTATTATTACTACCTGAACCAGATCACTTTTCTGAGCATCCTCGATATCAAGTCCATCAACCGGACTGTCCCTAAAGCTGCCTTCAGGACAATCAGGACAGGAATAAATAATTCCACCAATAGAACACTTCGACAACTTCATAACATTCCTGGTCAAAGTTCCTGTTTTATCACTGAAAACGTATTTAACCATTCCCAATTCCTCGTTTAGATTCGATGTCCTGGCCATGGCTGGTGTATCGGACTCTGAATGATACATTAGGACGTCCATGTTTATAAAAATCGCCTGGACAAATGACACATAATAGTAAATTGTGGGTTTGATATATATATATATATATATATATATATATATATATATATATTATATATTGCAGTGGCGTAAATACCTGCATAAATCGTACTACTTCTAAAGTCACTTGCAAAGATATGGGTATGAGATTGTTGTACAAGATGATGAAGGTCAACAAGTTGTAACCTAAGTTGACAGTTGTTATATCTAAAACAAATAAAATTGAAGCCATAAATCACAATTCATCAAAATTATCATTTTTAATTTCCCGTAGGGCAAGTTATAGTAATCGCAAAAAATCGACTAGTGGGGCGCATGGCATCGTGCCTTAGGGCAAATTGCTGGAAATTCCCGTACAAAAATTTTTTTTTAAAAAGATTAACATTTTTGAAAAAAATTTACTCTGAAAAAATTAGATTTTTGAGAAACTATAGATTTTTGACGAAAATTTACTTCTTTTTTGAAAAAAAAACTTAAAAAAAAATTATTTTGAAATATTTTGAAAATTCTGAACTTTTTTTCAAAGCAATCGTACTGCTTTAACTGCATAGAGACGAAATGTCAAAGCGCGTAAGCGCCGCGTCGCCGTCTAACGGGTAAACATTGGTACGGAACCCATAGGAATGTAAACAAATATTATACTTATTGTTAAAGTCTCTATAAAATATCTGATAATTTGATGTGCATATGTCTAATGATCATTTTTGACCGCCAAATGGCCTTTTTATTAATTTTTTTTACTAGATCTCCAAAACCGCTAGACCTGCCTTCGTGAAAATTTGATCAATTTTTCACCTTGTCAATACAGGTAAAATGTTTTTTGAATTATTCAAATCGGACGCTCCGTTCTCTTGAAAACTGAGTTACCGTTTTTGGCACTTTTTGCCCCATATCTTCGGAACGGCTAGACCTGCCTTAGCCAAAAACTAATCAGCACGTCTCCTTATCAATACTAATCGAATGTTTTTTGAATTATTCAAATCGGTTGATCGGTGTTCCCGAAATCGTCGACGAAAATTTGTATCCGCACACACACACATACACATACACATAAACATCCATTTTTTCAAAGGTATGCCAAAATGTTCAGAAGGTTTTGAAACGTAAAGATATATAAACATTTTCATTTTCGATTTTTTGTCGATTACTATAACTTGCCCTAAGGAAAGTTAAAAATGAAAATTTTTATATATCTTTACGTTTCAAAGGTGTCTGAATATTTTGGCATACCTTAGAAAAAATAAATGTATGTGTGTGTGTGTGTGCGTGTACGTGTGTGTGTGTACGGATACAAATTTTCGTCGACGATTTCGACGCAAAAGGCAGAAGGCAATTTTGCCGTTTCGAAGGAATTTAGCGCAAATGGTGTAAAAACGATTATACAGTTTTCGAGAGATCGGATCATCTGATTCGATTATTTCAAAAAAACATTTTGCTTGAGTAGACGGTGTGCAAAAAAGTGCATTTACAGAAAAATTAGTAATTTTGAAAATTTTCAAAAAAAAAAAATTAATATTTTCATACAAATTCAATGTTTCAAAAAATTTAAGGTTTCGAAATTTTTCATAATTTTCAAAAAAAAACTAAATTTTAAAAAATTAAAAAAAAAATTTAGAAAATTACAAAAAAATTCGAATATTTTCAAAAATTTCCAAATTCTTAATATATTTAAAAAAAAACTATTTTTCCAAATTCCTAAAAATTTCAAACTTCTAAAAAAATAAGTAAATAATAGTAATTACAAATTGGCGACCGTTTGAAAAAAAAGTGTCTTTTTTACTGTTTTTTTCAGTTTCTCGAATTTTTTAAAAATAGTAAATATTGGAATTTGGGGATAATTCTAAGTTCGGGCTACAGATAAGTCTATAAACAAGACTTTCTGAACATTTCAAGTAAATCGGCCGAGTAGAACGCGAGAAATCGTGTCAACAGTATTGAAACAGTCTGTTCTGAAAAAAAAACGCATTTAAAGTTTTGCGTGAAGCCAAACCAGTATGGAGACCGAGTCAGTAAATTGCCTATATTTCCGAAAATAATTCAATTTTTCAAAAACATTCTCGTACCTATACTCTTAGATAGTTAAACTTTGAAAATATGAAATAAAAAAAATCGATTTTTTTGAATTTCTGCACTAGAATACCCCCACTAGTTTCTTTTACTTACTCGTCAATCCGATGTACCAGTCGCTCTGCGCCCTTTTCTGCGTCCAAAGTTCATTGAAAATCGCCGACAGCAAACACAGTACGCACAAAATGAAGAACAACATCAAAATCTGCGTGTTGGTCAATTTATCAACAGTTGATCTCTTCAAAGGTGCTGATGTCGAATTTTGCATCAATTTGGTATCGTGACCAGTATAGACGACAACTCCGAAAGCCCAACTTGTGTTCCTCAACATTGCTCCACGGAGTAGGAGTTGATCAGGACCCAAAGCTATAGCCCTGGGGGAAAAAAATTATATACATCTCTAAATAAATTGGTGGTTGGCTTTTGCAAAACTTACTGTTCTCCGTGAGGTTTTAAGACGCCAGCAAATTCGTAAAGGAGTCTGTTTGGTGGTTCGCATTCCAAAGTGGCGGTTAATTCTCCTAGTTCTGTTGCATTCTGTATGCTGGCGGTTCTGGGAACTGCTTGACGGATTTTCAGATTTGTCTCGCCGTCCAGATTGGCGGTCTCGATGAATGACATGCCTTGGGGCTCACTAAAAGGTAAAAAAGATTAGGTAAGAAAGGTCATTCAAGGTAAGAAAGAGTCTAAAATATTGATTGATTTCCGAGTTATTCAACTCGTAATGTGCAACATACACAGTAGTCTCAGACGATCTGCAACAGTCCCAGGCAATCTACAATAGTCTCTAGGGATCTACAACAGTCTCTGGCAAACTGTAATAGTCTAGAATCTAGATGATCTACAACAGTTTCTGAGGATCTACTGCAGTTTCTGACGATTTACAACAGTTTCTGAGAATCTACTGCAGTTTCAGACAATCTACTGCAGTTTCAGACAATCTGCAACAGTCTCAGATGATCTACGATAATCTCAGATGATTTACAACAGTCTCAGATGATCTACAAAAGTCTCAGACGATCTAAAATGATCTACGAGAATCTCAGATGATCTACAACAGTCTCTGGCAGTTTGCAACAGTTTTTGGGGATCTACAACAGTCTCAGATGATCTACGAGAATGTCAGATGATCTACAACAGTCTCTGGCAGTTTGCAACAGTCTCTGGCAGTTTGCAACAGTTTTTAGGGATCTACAACAGTCTCAGATGATCTACGAGAATGTCAGATGATCTACAACAGTCTCTGGCAGGTTGCAACAGTCTCTGGCAGTTTGCAACAGCCTCTGGCAGTTTGCAATAGCCTCTGGGGATCTACAACAGTCTCAGATGATATACAACAGTTTCGGATGATCTACGAGAATGTCAGAAGATCTACAACAGTCTCTGGCAGTTTGCAACAGTCTCTGGCAGTTTGCAACAGTCTCTGGCAGTTTGCAACAGCCTCTGGCAGTTTGCAATAGCCTCTGGGGATCTACAACAGTCTCAGATGATATACAACTGTCTCAGACGATCTACAACAGTCTCAGATGATATACAACAGTCTCAGACGATCTACAACAGTCTCAGATGATCTACAACGATCTACAAGTCTCTGGCAGTTTGCAACAGTCTCTGGCATGATCTACAATAGTCTCTGGCAAGCTACAACAGTCTCAAACCACCTACAACACGCAGATAATCAACAATAGTCTCTAGTAATCTGCAAAAGTCTCAGACGATCTTCAGCAGTCTCAGACAATCTACAAACCTCTCAAGACAACCTACAACAATCTTGGAAATCTAAAACAGTCTCAGATGATCTACAACAGTCTCAGATGATCTACAACAGTCTCAGACGATCTACAATAGACTCTGGAAACCTACAACAGTCTTGGTCCATCTGCAACAGTCTCAGACAATCTGCAACAGTCTCTAGGGATCTACAACAGTCTCAGACAATCTACAACAGTCTCAGACAATCTACAACAGTCACAGACGATTTACAATCCTCACAGTTCTACAAACCTATCAAAAAATCTGCAATACTCAAATAATCTATAACAGTTTAAGATATTCTCCAACAGTCTCAGACAAATTATAGCTTCATCAAAAGCAATATAATGTGTGTTTTACAAACCTGGATGCCAATAACAGCAGATCAGCAGGAAAAAAATGATTATTGGTAACTTTAACAATATCACCAACAGACAGCTTCAACCACTTGATACTCTCCCATTTCGAATTCCTTAGAACTTCCACACAACGATGATTAATCTCATCATCAGCTCGATGCCTCTTCTGCAACAAAAAAGAAAAAATAAATAAATAAAATAAATTTATAATAAAAATCTATATTAACTTACAAAATCTTCTACAATCTCCTTCAGAGCACTGACTGCCAATATAAAAAGCAAGGGCACCAGCGTCGTGTATCTTCCTGTCGGAGATACATCAGGAATCTGCTGCAGCAGGGCGATCAGGAGGAAAAAACAGTTCGAGTATCTTCTGAATTGCTCGAAGAGGAAACATGGTACAAAACTTAAAGTGCTAGAAAAAATAACAACAATTTAATTATATAACCACACTTATGTTCTAATTTTTGGATACAATTGTTTAGTGCAGTAAACGGAGAGGAAAAAAGGGTATAACCTCTGAATTTTTTTACTGTGCTTCGAATTGCATGAAATTTTAGAATTAGGTTTTAACTTAACCTCAAGTTCAAAAGTGAAAACAATTCGGACTCCGGCGGGTTACGACCCCTTAATAAATAAGTGGACATTGAGCCGTTTTATAACTAGAAAACGTTTTTAATATTAAAGGATGCAATTAAAAAGTACTTTTTAATACATTTACTTTGCAATAAAATCATTTTCAAGCCCTAAAACCATTGAAATTATTAAAAACTCTAAAACCCTTCAAACAACCTCTAAATTGAAAAAAAAAACACTTAAAAATAAATTTCGGTATGATATAATAAGAATTACATATAAAGTAAATAATATTTTATGTTTTCTATCTTGATTATCAAATTTTTAACCCTTTTTAGATTTTTAAAAACAACCCGTTGATGAAAAATTGTTCGAAAAAATTATTTTGAAATTGAAAGAAAATTATAGAAAGAAGAAATGATATGAATGTTATTTCAATTTCTCGAAAATAATTACTATATCCATAGTTTGTTCAACTCTTAAAACTACCCTTAAATAAAAACAGTTAATATAACACTAGTAACCAGTATAATTTTCTCTAAAGTCGTGTATTTGTTGTTCTTGTTAATGCAATTATTAAACTTTCATTTACTATAGTGATCGAAAACTATATTAATTTATTTAACACGTAAAACTTTCAGCCATAAGATGCTTTACTATAAGAATAAATCGCCTGCCAAAATTCTGTACGATGAAGATATTTACATTTCATGATCAACATAATAACACAAAATTTTGTGGCTCTTTCAAATCTTGCATACTATTATTCCTAAAACACTTAATAAAACACTGATTTATTAAGATTTTTATTGACATTATTTTGTTCGGAGATATTTGCAAAAAAAAACAAGAAAAACGACCAAATATATGCATTTTTAGTGGCCAGTAACTTGAAAAATATAAGTTTTTTTGAAAAACTATAAGAGACATTTTTTTCTTATACGAGGTGTGTTCAAAAAGTACCCGGAATTACTAATAATTAAATTTCGCGGGTCTGGAGTGTCTGATTGTCAAAATTTTTTTTTTATTGTGTTGGTATACATGCCCCTAAAGTATGATGAAATTTTCAGCTATATTCACTGTTTACTTTGTCTGTGGTAGTCGCTAAGGTTCGACGTGTTTTTCTGAGCTCGGCGATTTTTACAATGGAAGAATTGAAAAGTCAAAGAATTTGTATTAAATTTTGCGTAAAAAATGAAATAAAGTGTTGCAAAGTGCAAAAATTCACCAGATATGGCTCCGTGTGACTTTTTCCTATTCCCAAAGTTGAAGAGACCCATGAAAGGACGGCGGTTTTCCTCGATTGAAGAAAATCGCCGAGAGTGCTCAAGGACATATCAAGGGTGCTTCGAAAATTGGAAAAAACGCTGGCATAAGTGTATTATATCTGGGGGGGACTACTTTGAAGGGGACCACATTAATGTAGACGAATAAATAAATATTTTTTTGAAAAAACGAAAATTCCGGGTACTTTTTGAACAGACCTCGTAATTTGTTCTTTTATCGATTTCCGACGTTATTGTTGAAAGGGTGTCATCCCCCCGGGGTGTGCTGGCGGAACCCGAATAGTATTCACTTTTGAACTTGAGGGTAAGATAAACCTAATTCCAAAGTTTCATGCAATTCGGAGCACTGTAAAAAAAATCAGACCCAAAACGCTCCGTTTACTGCACTAATAGTATATAGTATAACGATCATTTTATCTTCAAACTCGTTTTTCTCGAAACAGCTTTTTCGAATTTGCTGCAGTGATTACTCGGAGATAAATGATCCGATCGCTATCAATTTTTTTTGCATCTCCTCAATATAGTTCTCCATACGATGACCCTCCAGTTTTTTTATCTGATCAAAAATCGAATTTTGGCAGGCCAAAGGCGACCAAAATTTTGGGAAAAATTTAACGTTTTTTATCAAAATGCTGCCATTTTGTCAATTTTTTATTTTCTTGTTCGCCCGAGGGTCATCGTACAGACAATATGTTCTAGTTTAACGATAATTTTTTTTTCAACGGAGAAGGCTACAATAACTCCAGCAGTGGAGGACCTTTTTTTGGAGCCGCCGGAGATCGCGTGTCATTTCAAAAATATTTAATATTTTATTTAAAAAATTTTACTGTGTATTCACAAAACATGTATAAATATACCTTCAAAGTTTTAAATAGATGGATTCACTAGTTTTTTTTTTATTTTTGAATTCCCAAAAATAAACTTTGTTTAGGTTGTCACACTAGGTGTGCCCCTTAAGTTAAATATGTAGTAGCATAGGGTGAAATCTCAGGTACCAAAATCTAACTTCCAAATGGCACAAAAGTCGTTATACTATTAATGATGTGTCGTCTATTACCTATATTTGGCCGTAGAGATATGATTGTTGCAGAACTTGTTCGGCTGCGGCCGATTGACGAAGATGACCCTCTTCTCGCCGACGACGTTGGAGTCGCCGGTCGAGGTTGCCAAGTCGTCGGTGGACGCCAATGGGGCGCCGCAGGAGGGGTTGGCGCTCGTTGCGTCATCATCTGAGGAAAGAAATGAATTATAAGAATTAAATGAGGAATAAAATAAAATAAATAAACATGATGCAAAGGCGCAGGACCAAAAATGTAGACAAAAGATAAGAGAGTGACAAAAAATGTAAATGTAGAATTTTGGAGATGACAGATTTTGTGATAAAGTATTTCTCGTATCCGAATCCCTGGTTAAAATTAGTGATAGCCAAGGTACGTATCAGAGTAATCATTGATTGCTTGTTTTTTTTTAGTTTTTCGCTCATTCTTTGAACAGTTGTAGTATCTGTCTTGAATATAAAAATAATTTCTATTATAATAACCTCAAAATTATATAGTAACCAGTAAAAATTTGATTTGTATTGATTTTTTCTTTAAGTATAGAACCCTATATTGATGTTTTCTCTGAACTAATAAAAATAAAATTATGATATATATATACTAGCTGGACCTGCAAACCTGCAAACGTATACCACTACCATACTAAAAAGCATATTAAAGGTGGGAGCCTGCTTTAGGGGCTTAAAATATATCGATTTTTTTCAGTAAAAACTGAACAATAAAACCTGAAAGTTTCGTTTCAACTAAATAATTATTTGCTTCCCTAAAAATTTCTCAAAAAAGCGTTTTTATGAAGCCTTTAAAGCACCTTTTATGGACTTTAAAGATGAAAAAATAATTCTACTAACGAGCGAATTTATTATCAAAATATAAATATGACTCTACCGACGAGCAAACAGTATATGGAGTAAAATAAAAAAAGAATGATAGATACTGTCGATCAAGCAGAATTTAATTTTTTTATGGAAGAGAAAAAAAACTCTACTGACGAGCATAAAATAAAAAAGAGGACTCTCTTAGAGATTGTATAAAATTGTTATAAAATTATTTTATTTATTTAGTTTTTTTTATTGCAGAAGAGGCATCGAGCTGATGATGAGATCAATTCTGCCACGTAAAATAGCGTTTTCATGCTATCTTATGCTTTTTTTTGTTAGTGAATATGAGACATTTTTCTTTTATTTATTTTATTTGGCCTCTTATTTACAAACTAGCCTTATACAAAGTTTCCTACATTTAAATTCTAATTTTACATTTAACTAAAAAATTATATATAATTTTATAATGAATATGAGACAATATCTTTGTATTTACTGTGGGATCAGGCGTATTTTACTTATAAACAAATAAAGCATAGAAGAATCTTATGGTAACTGCATCATCAAAGTTTTTATCACAACATTATTTCTTGCTTGTTTATATGTAAAATGCGCCTGATTGCACAGCAAAACCATAGACATTGTCGTAGCAACGCTATTTTATGAGGCAGAATTGTCCGGTGAGTTTCAATATTAAATAAAAAAAATTTGGTTCTACAAACGAGAAAATTAAATGGTAACGAAGAAGATAAGAAGGGAACTTTACTGACGAGCTCTTCAAAATAAAACAAATGTATTCTACTAGCAAGTAAATTAAGTTAAAATATTTTTTTGCTAAAATAAAAGTAGCCCAAGGTAAACCCAATTACATCAGCTACCTCTCAAAAAAGTTTCGTCAAAACCGGTACAGACGTTCGGAAAAAAAAACCCAAATAAACAGACTGACAAAAATTTTGAAAATGGTAATTTGGTAAATGGAACTTATCTACCTGTCAACCTGTCAACCTGTCAATCTGCCTGTCTGTCAACATGTCAACCTGTCTATCTGTCATTTATCTACCTGACTTCCTGTCTTGCTTTCGATCGGTCTGTCGTTTTGTCTACCTGTCTATCTATCAATCTGTCAGTTTATCTGTCATTATATCAACCTGTCTACCTTTTCAATCTGTCTGTCTATTAGTCCATCTCTCATTAACATATTTTTTGAATCATTCAAATCGGACGCTCTGTTCTCGCAAAAATTGAAATTTTTTGTTGCGTACCTCCTTTGACGACTGGACCTGTCTGCCCAAAAACTAATCATCACGTATTCCCATTAATAGTAATCGTATTTGAATTGAATCATACACCTAAACGCACATTTACATCTATTTTTTAAGATATACCTAAATGTTTGAAACGTAAATGTTTATTTTCTACTTTTTTGGGATTACTGTAACTTGCCCTACGAGATGTTAAAAATTAGCAAATCGGATTTTCAGCCAAATTTCATAATGATTTATTAATAAATTTATTAAATAAGTAAATAAATTCACCTAACTGTCTAATTTCCAACAAACAGTAAAATGCGACACTTGTTTCGGTTGCATCTCTCGATCATGTTTTGGCTTATTTTTTTTCAATTCTTCACTCCGAATGTGTCAGTGTCATTGTCAGTGTCAATTTACACTTTAGGAATCCAAAACATCATTTTTGCATTGAGGTATTAAATAACAATTCAACGATTTGAAATTGATTTTGAACGTTTCCATTATCAATTGACGGCAACATGATAATTTGAGAATATTGAAAACAATTGATTCAAAACTTCAAAAATGATTTATACAAATATTTATGAATATTGCTATTGATGTAAGATTATCTAGATTTAATTTATATCTATATTTTAAAAAAATATATATAGATAAAGCGATCAAAATAGTTATGAATGACATACCAATAAAATGAAGTTCTCTTAATTTCAAAATAATTTCATCAACCATTTGTGAAATTTTGAATTTATTACAAATTAGCAACATTTTATTTGGATGTAATTTTATTCAAATTTGAGCTGGTTTTTGAAAAACTAATTTATGTAAATGTGTAAATATATTTGTGTATATCTCATGTTTACATTTATATGACGAGCATATAAATGCTCGAATCATATCACCCCAAGGGGGCCCCACCCTGTCCTGGTAATTACAAATTCGTGTCCGCCATAAAAATTAATCAAACATCATTAAAGCGATTCGCCTTTTACAACGCCCTCATTTATTTGTGTAAAGAACACAATCTGATTCTACGATCTAATAATAGAATTTTAGCAGTTCATGGGGGTTGTTTAACATCAATTTGTATTCGGGGACGATTTCTTCTACTATTAAAGGAGAAGTGAAATAAATTAAGACGGAGGACGGAGTAAATTACTGAATCACAGTGATTCGGTTTTATTAAAATAAGAGTAAAAGCTTATTCAAGAGTGTCAAGTCAATTCTAATGCTGACATTACTAATTTCTTACAGATCCTAATATTTTACTAATACATAAAAGAAAGAACTCTTTCCATCAATAGGAACCGAATTTGAATAGATTCATTAAAATTGGTTAAAACGTGCCCACAAAATCACTGATGAAAATGGTATCGGTACATACTAGAGATGGGTAACTTACTCCGGAGTTATCACTCAGATACAACTCCTCCCTCGGAGTGAATCCGAGTGAAATTGTCTTACAGGATTCGTCATATCCGACTTCCCTAAACTGGTTCTAAATCTGTTACTGCGTTTTTGCTTTGGGAAGGAAGCTGTCGCTTTCTCGTCTCACAGGCAGTTTTATGACCTTTTAGGTATACGTTTTTTTCCAGAAAATACAAAAATATTTTTTCAAAGATACAGAACAATGAAATTGGGTTTAAGTGTGAATAGCTCAAATGTATAATTTATCGAATAGTAAGGGGTCATATTTCTAACTACGACAATCTTAGGCCATGAATGATGGCAATCAGGAATATACATACCGAAAAATACACAAAACAAAATACATATAATCTGGTTTTTCCATAGCCTGAAATAACAACACTTGCAAAATATATCAGTGACGTCAATAGTATTTCAGCAACAAAAAATATATAGTATTAAATTTTTACTTTTACGCAATTATATAATTGTCTAAAAGTAATAATATGCTAATCGAACTATCCGATGTAATATTAATTCTCGAATGGAAATAGCAGAAGAAAAAATTAGAAAGCAGAAGCATTATTATTTGGTGAAAATATTTTATGATAAATATCGTTTTTTTCGTCCCACGTGCAATTTTATGACTTTCTAGGTATAAAACGACCCAAAATAATGCAACTTTGTATTCTATATTCTGTATACAATTATTCTTGCCCGTAAATGAGCTCTTTCAATGGTATACAACCAGCTAAAAATATTTAATATTATATTATAACTTATATACATTCATGATTTTATAATTGTATAAAAGTAATAGTATGCTAATCAAACTACCTGATGTATAATTAATTCTCGAAAAGGAAATAATAAAATAATGTGAGGTATTATTATTTTGTGAAAAATATTATACACCAAGATTTGTTCTTATTTCATATATAAGGTTCACTGCATTATTTTCATATAAATATAAAATTATTCAATGAAATCTATTTTCTCTTCAAAAATAATTATAAAATTGCAATTATAACACTACAAAAAATATAAGCCATTGATTCGATCGCCTGCCAAAATTTTTACAACCCAAAATTTATTGGTAAATTTTTTCAATCATTGTTTTATTGACATTTATTTATTTATGAATTGTCTGGTCGCCTGATTATCTAGTTGACATTTTTCTATAGCAAAAAAATTACCCTGATATTTCAACATTTTTATTGATTACCAAAAAAATCATGATAGTTACAAAGTGAGTAACTGCAGGAGGAAGTTTACTGATGAGCAAACTAGAAACTCTATCTAATCTAACAAATTTAAGATACTTTAAAGAACTCTACTGGCAAACCAACAAAAATTGTACATGTGTAACTGAAGAAAATGTAAAAAATGTGAAAAATGAAACCACAAAAATATGAAAAATGAAGCCGATCACTTTCAAGAGAAATAATTACTTTTCCAACAAGCTTAGGTCATGAAACAAAATCTATTAATAACCAAATTCAGTTTCGAATTAAAAAGCAAATTATAAACTAGCAAAAAAGAAACTTTATAGACAAAGCAGTATATTATATTTAATTTAATCCAGAAAGGCGTTAGTATGACCATCAGGTTTTCTATATGGTCTTTAATATGGATATTTTCGAATTTCCTTGCTCCCAAGGACTCAAATGCTTCCAAATTGACAAAAAAAAATCTTTGGAAGTTTCAGCTCTTAATATTAACTCTAACATACTCCGCACTACAACCAAACTTTCTTGGACTTTCTTCCTAAGTAAATACTTATTTTATGAAATATATCAAATTTTCGTTGTATTTTTTAATTTATGATATAGATAAGCAAGTATAATGTTATTCTTAAAAAAATGATACACTTGTCGCTAAGTTTTAAATTCTAAAAAACCATATTAAAGACTAACCTAGTATATATATATATATATATATATATATATATATATATATATATATATATATATACATATACATATCGATTATTTTCCCTGATGAATATAAAGTGTGGTATTGGCCTTGAAGAAAAATACTGAGAAATCCTCCGTTTTTCATAATGAATGAATGAATGAATGAGCGCGCCATGGCGCTTCATTATTTCTTTATTTACATACTGAATCAGTATCATCAGATATTCTATTCTAATTGCATATATATATATATATATATATATATATATATAAATTATACAAAAAGAGAATTTGCGAAGGAGCCTATTTAACAATTTCTAGAACAAAAAATACACGGAATAAACTCAACATACAGAAACATCCTTTACCTCTAGATAGTATTTCCAAATTATTTACAAATCAATAAAAAATGTGCAAAAAATTCACAATTAGTTCCACACATGTTAGAATCTTGCTAAAAATATTTTTTATAAATCTTTTTATTATTTCTCCAACTAGTGTACAGATTATACATATTGCACACATATTGTGAAAATTTAACTTTTCAATAAATATTTGGATGAATGCCTGGAAAACCATTTAATATATATATATATATATATATATATATATATATATATTATATTTACACACGTGTGTGTCCATTGGTGGTCGCCTAAAACCTAAAAAGTGTGGGTGTGTGTTTATTTCGGTCTTAAAATAATATGTCTCAAGTAAACAAGAAAAGCATTCTCGTTTCTAATTCCGATCGATATTCGACATTCGTCATTTTACTCTGATTACATATTAAAATATTTAATTATGCATTATTCGGGCTTTTTTTCGATGTAGTATTATTAGAACTGTGACGCTTTGGTGAGTAAACCATGTAATAGAGTAATTTTTGGGATTTAAATAAATACATGTAACTTCTATATATTTCAAGTCTTATTCAGAGTCTTATAATTTAAAAAGGTCTAAAAATTTGAACCAAATTGTTATTTGTATTTATTCTTGTACTTGTAATAAAAGGTGTAAAAGTAGCCAAAATCTCTAGATAAAAAGGATCTAAAAAGGCAATGACATATACAATTAAATATTTAAAAAAATAATAAGTTTTATATTGAAGAAAGTTTTAAAAGTGTAAAGACTTGTGATAAAAGTACAAAAGAAAAACCGAAAATATTTAACAGATTCTTATATTTTAGAAAGTAAAATAAAGGTGCCAACAACTTTTGATAAAACAGAGGAAAACTATTAAGAATATCCAAATAATATTGGAGCCTTGTACTTTTAATGAAAAAACCAAAAAGTAGGCAATTTGGGCGAAAAAGGGCTTGACCATATTTAACAAGTTCTTATGTTTTGGAGATTTCTAAAAAAATGGTGCAGACGACTTATAATAAAAAAGGAAAATAATAATAAAAATATCCCAAGAACATAGTCTTACATTTTTAATAAAAGGTCTAAAAATAGCCAAAATCTCTAGGTCAAAGATCAAAGAAGGCAATGAAATATACAATTAAATATTTAAAAAAAATAATTGACTAGTGGTGTATGGCATCGTGCCTTAAAGAAAATTGCAGGAACTTCCCGTACTATAACAAAATGTTTGAATGATGATTATTATAAATAATGTTACATTGTTTAATACTTATAAGAATTATATAAACAGAATTACAAAGTTAAAGTTATTTATTCAAAGTATATAAGTGAGCTTTAGAACTTTAGCCAGAATTAAAATTGAAATCTGAGCTATTTTCAGTATACAAAAAAAAGATTTAAAAAAAAAATCCAAAAGCAACTGTTTTGTCAACACAAACCGACAGTTTTTTGAATCATTCAAATCGGATGCTCCGTTCTCTCAAAAACTCGATTTGTATTTTCTGCACTCTTTGCTCCGTATCTCCCTAATGGCTGGACCTGCCTTTGCCAAAAACTAATCAGCACATCTCCCTATCAAAAGGAATCGAATGTTTTTTGAACCATGCAAATCGGTTGATCCGCGTGGACGAAAAATTGTATACATACATACATACACACACATCCATTTTTTCTGAGGTATGTCAAAATGTTCAGAAACCTTTGAAACGTCGAGAAATGCAAAAATTTTCATTTTAGATTTTCGGTCCATTACTATAACTACCCTACGGTAAGTTAAAAATATAAAGAAACAGAAACAATTTTATATTTTACAAAGAAAAATCTTCAGATTTAGATCAGATTTTGGATAAAAATCAGAGCATTTATATATTTTATGCCTAAAAAATTGTATTTCAAAAAAGATGTTAGACTTAAATTTAAAAGCCAAAAAACTAGGAAACAACAGAGTCTCCTACTAAGATAAAAATGTAAATATACAATTATTATAAAAAACCTGTAAAAAATTTGGGATAACAAAAAAGTCTCAATAAAATATAATATACATTTATGCAATTTTAAAAAAATATTTAATAGGTTTATTGTCAAAAGTTCTAAATAGTCTTAACAGAAAAGAAACATAAAAAATGTAAAAAAAACTATAGTAAAATAAAAATGTCGGTTTTAAAGAATTAGAGAATAAATCCAAAATAGACTAATAATAATAAATATATTAAAAAATGGTTATATATAATTAGAAGCCCAAGAACGAGTCCAAAAGCCAGTGAAACCTAAAATATTAAAGGAGCTGCTTAGATTTTTATAAATATTGTAACATTGTCTAATATTTATAAGCAATATGTAAACTGAATTGCAAAGTTGCAGAGTCTTATTCTAAGTCTAAATAGGCACCCACAATATTTAAGGGTCCACAGATATTTTTGATAAAAAGCCAAAGAACGAGTCAGACCCTTGGGGCAACAAACAGTTTTTAAAATATATATTTATTTAATTTTTTCCTTACTTTGTGAAAACCTCCTTCTAAGTGCTCTATAAACATTGCTCCTTGTAACATCAGATTTAACTCTTCGAAAAAACCGATTAATATCACCGTACGGAACCCACTGCATATTAACCAAAAAACTTAATTTACTACTAACTTATTCAAACATTTGGCGACATTTTAAAAAACACTGAATCACACTTGGATTTAAATTTAAAGAAAGCCATTGGTAAAATTTACATTTACAGTTAGTGACAACACATCACAGTAAGTGAAAGACACAACTATATAGTAATAGTTACATACATATATTTAAATATAAATATAAATAATTTAATATACACTTTCATAGTCTATTATTATAATTATCCACCATTTTTATTTACTATTGCACAAAACAATTTTCACCCACATTTATTTTGGCTTGTAACTATTACAAATTTACAAAATTACATTTATAATTTATACGGCAAAGTGTGTTAAATATTATCCTGTATCCGGTTGTACAATTTCGATTACATTTTACCGTTTATAACGATTGTTTTCAAGTGTTTTTAACAAATTCGAGGCGTTTGTTCGCCTCGGCTGCCGATTTGTGAAACGTCAAACGCCATATTGGTGTTTACTTGAAAACAGTGTTGCCAACGCGCATGATTCGAATGACGACGGGGGAATTTGTATCACTGCTGGCAAGACTACGGGGACAAGGGATATTTTTGAAATGATAATTAATAAATAATTAATTTATTTAAAAAAAACTATTCATACTAGGTTACAAACTGGGTCAGTTAAAACTATTTAAACTATATGTATATAATACATAAATAAAAAGTGCTTTTTGACAATTATAATTTCTAAAGTACATTTTTATCACTGATAATTTAATAAATATTATTATTTATGTTCAAATCTTAGATGAATTAATTAGTAAAATCTGGTTTATATGTGCACTGTTCAATCTAAGATCAACTTGCTAAATATTCCATATCCAATGCCAAACAAATGAATTTTTGACACATGAATCAAAATTCTAAATCATTTTTTAAAAAGTAAAAATATTTTTTGGTATTGTTACATAATTTAGTAAACCAAAATGCGACATGCATAAGTTTAAAAAAAATAATGTAAATGCAATTTTGGACTTGTTGCGTTATT